AAATAAAAGGAAACTAGACCACCAACTGACACCACACACACAAAAAAACTCAAAATGGATTATAGACTTAAATGTTAGAGTTGAAACCATAAAAATCCTTGAAGAAAACATAGGCAGTAAAATCCTAGGTACCTCTCTTAGCAATATTTTTTTCTTTTTGTATCTCCTCAGGCAAGGGAAACAAAATAATCAATAAATAAATGGGACTACATCAAACTAAAAAGTTTTTGCACAGAAGAGAAAACCAAACAACAGAATAAAAAGAGAAATTACTGAATGGGAGAACATATTCCCCAATGATACATCTGATAAGAGGTTAATATCCAAAATTTATAAAGAATATACAATTCAACACCAAAATAAACAATCCAATTGAAAAATTGGCCAAAACCGGTTTGGCTCAGTGGATAGAGCATTGGCCTGCGGACTGAAAGGTCCCAGGTTAGATTCCGGTCAAGGGCATGTACGTTGGTTGCAGGCACATCCCCAGTAGGGAGTGTGCAAGAGGCAGCTGATCGATGATTCTCTCTCGTCGGTGTTTCTAACTCTCTATCTCTCTCCCTTCCTCTCTGTGAAAAATCAATAAAATATATTTAAAAATAAATAAATAAATAAATAAATAAATAATAAGTAAGTAAAAAATTGGCAAAGGACCTGAATAGACACTTCTCCAAAGAAGACATACAAATGGCCAATAGACAAATGAAAAGATGTGCAATGTCACTAATCATTAAAGAAATTAAAACTACAATGAGTTATCACCTCACATCTGTTAAAATGGCTACCGTCAATAAATCAACAAACAACAAGGATGTGACAAAAGGATTCCCTCATCAGTGGAAAAACAGATTGGTACAGCCACTGTGGAAAGGAGTATAAAGTTACCTCAAAAAATTAAAAATGGAGCCCTAGCTGGTTTGTCTCAGTGGACAAAGCTTCAGCCTGCAGACTAAAGGGTCCCAGGTTCAATTCCGACCAAGGGCACATGCCTGGGTTGCAGGCTTGATCCCCCAGTAGGGGACATACAGGAGGCAGCCAATCAATAATTCTCTCTCATCATTAATGCTTCTATTTCTCTACCTCTCTCCCTTCCTCCCTGAAATCAATAAATATACATACATCTATACTAATAAAAGAATAAGATGCAATTTGAACATACCTTCACAATGCCCACCAGCCAATCAGGAGTTAGTATACACATTAATCCAACAAAGATGGAAGACTAATTTGCATACACAGGCACCGAGCAGCCAGGTGTGGGCGGGATGTAGGCGTTCCACACTGCCCCAGCCTCTCCGGGCCTCTGGGCAGCGTGGGAAGGCGGAAAAGCTGTTCTGGGCTGGAGTGAAGGCAGTGCCGGCAGCCAGGGAAGGGAAGACCCATTCTTGCATGATCTTCATGCATCGGGCCTCTAATATATACATATATATTTTTTTAAAAATTAAAAATGGAAGAAAAAGAAAACCCTCATACAAACAGACAAGAGTGTGGCGATTACCAGAATGAAATGGGTATGGGGGAAGTAGAAGAAGGTATAGGGGGGATAAATGGTGATGGAAGGAGTCTTGACTTGGTGTGGTGAACACACAAAACAATATACAGATTGTACAATTATATACCTGAAACCTATATAATTTATTAACCAGTAAATTCAATGAAAAAGAAAAGCAGGTAATTAATTTGGAAAGAGTAATAAAAGGGTTGTTGGCCAGTTTTGAGTGCTGATATTTGAGATGTATAGTCCATCATAAATACAAAGTGGCTAGAAGTAGTGATGAGGAAGTATTATCATCCAATTACCATTACTGATTGATAGCTAGGCCCCGGAGTATAAGCAATGGATGAGCTATAAAAGAAAATTCATATTGCTATTTTTTAATAACTTCATAGTTCTGCTGACATTTGACTCTGTGTTCATGTCAAATGGGGAAATAAAATATTCTTTACAAATCTAAAGAGTTTTTTTTTTTCTCAGTAGCCCAGCAGAAAACTAAAAGCATGCATCAAACAAAACAATGTTTACTGCATTTTAAACTAAGATCTGAATTCAATTAACAAATCAGTAAGATAAAAATGAGAACATAGAGTTTTTACTTTAGAAATCATAAAGACCTTTATTGTTAAGATCATTCAAATGTGAAATCTGAGGACATAGATATCTCCCTTGTATTCTGAACATATGCCAGGTGAAAATTAAATATATATATATATATATATATATATATATATATATATATATATATATATATATATTACTGTACAGCTTTAGCAATTGCATGAGTGAGAGCAGTAAGATGGGAATTAATACCTAAATAAATGCACATTGAGAATCTGGAAAGATGACTGTGTGATTTGACAAGGAAATGAAAACTAATGCAATCACTTTAATAATCAAACTGAAGAACATGACTTTTTAAAAAAATGAGATAAAATGCAAATATTGACACTTTTTTGTGTGTTAATTCTCACCTAAGGATATTGTTTTGATTGATTTTTAGAGAAAGTGGAAGGGGGGAGAGAGGAAGAGAAAAGAGACAGAGACACAGAGAGAAACATAGATGTGAGAGAGACACATCAATTGGTTGCCCACAGCATGGCCCTAAAGCTGGGGATGGAACCTGAGACCCTTCAGTGCCCAGGGCCAATGCTCTAACCACTGAGAAACTTGGGCAGGGGCCAAATACTGACACTTTTTTTTTTTCAAGACTGACACTTCTTATAGTCTGTATTAGAACCTATCGATAATTGTTCTTTGCAAATTCTCTCTCTCTCTCTCTCTCTCTCTCTCTCTCTCTCTCTCTCTCTCTCTCTCTCTCTCTCTCTCTCTCATTTTTTACAAAAAGGAAGAGAGGGATAGAGAGTTAGAAACATTAATGAGAGAGAATCATCGATCAACTGCTTCTTGCACACCCCCTACTGGGGATGTGCCCACAACCAAGGTACATGCCCTTAACCAGAATCGAACCTGGAACCTTTCAGTCCCCAGGCTGACGCTCTATCTACTGAGCCAAACTGGTTTTGACAACAAACTTCCTTTTAAATGAGGAGATGAAAGAATCAATGTCCAAACATAGGTTCCAAAGCCCAGGATGCCATGGGAAAAACTAGAGAAGTAAAAAATACCTTCATGGAGATTGGGCATACAGAATAGAACTGCAACAACAAAGTTTTGGCATCAATATGTAGAGGTTGATACATAAACCAAGACAATTAATATGACAAAGAGAAAGGAATTGTGGATATTCAGGTTGAAGAGACATTTTCGAAAAAGAGGTGACATAATGAACTTTTTAATTATAAAGTCAAAGTCGTAGCAAGTTGGAACAAAGAATTAAATAAATGCAAGCACAATATTTATTTATTCTTCTCCTGCTATTTTTCAACAGAAACATTTTAAAGTACATTTATAAGACCCAACCCTAAAAGCATGAAAGCTAAGTGAGGAGATAAATGAGTAGCTAAAACGAGCTGGCCAAACTCAAAAAAATAATGTTAAAGGAAAAGAGATAAACCATACTATAAATCATGTTAAGGTTAAATTACATTTTAATGAATTATTAAAATTCTTTGGTTAAATAAAACATTAAGATACATAGGCAAAAAAAGGACATTAGAAGGTTTGGATTCTTTTCCTTTAGAGATTTTATAATGATATTTGTTCTGGCAGGAATTGATTATACAAATGTCACAGCTGAATGAATGTGTGTGGTTTGAGAACAAGTGAACTGCCTCAAGAATGGGAAAAGGAACTTGGACTGCAATAAAAGTAATTCTCAACATGGGTTTCTAGACTCTCCACCAATCCCTTAATGGATGACTGGTTTTAAAAAGAGTACTCCAGATAGACTAAGAAAAGTTGATGATTAAGCTATCCAAACTACACTGTCTGATTGAAAATTATGTATTTGTGTGTTTTTAAAAATAAAAATGGGAAATCTGCCTTGCTTCCTTTATCTCTCATTCTTGCAGCCATGGGATTTGTGACCCTGACACTGTGTAGCTCACAAACCTATTGCAGGCTCTGCATTCTAAGGAAATAAGACAAGAGAAACAACAAAACCAAAACACGATCTTAGCATATACCAAATCAAGGATACAATTGTGTGATAATAGAGATCAAGTAAAAAAGAGAGCAGGCATTGATAAACACTTATGAGAAAGGAGCTAATACTACACACTGGGAATTTTAATACTAAGAAAAGAATATAGAAAAAAAAAAAAGATAATGCCGATAAACTTGAAAACCCAAGATAGGTAAGAATTTCTTAAACACAATACCAAATGCACAAAACATAAAGGGAAAGACTAATAAATTTAACTTAAAAGTTTTCTTTTCATAGGAAGACATAAAAGACCAACCACTGACTGGGGGGGCATGTTTGAAATGTATAGAACTGATATCTGACCCAGAACTCATAAGCTCCAACAAATCAATCAAGAAAGAAGCCCAGTCTATTTGAAAAGTAGTCAATCAATATGAATAAGCAATGAGCAGAAGCAAAAACTCAAATGGCCAATTAATAACATATGTATTAAGCTGCCCTATCTCCTTAGTAATCATTTCACATCTGATTGCCAAAAAAGTAAAAAGCCTGAAAATATCAGGGTTGTATATCACAGGGATAGATCTGTGAGAGTCACTATACTCTGATGATGGGAACATAAATTGGAACAACAGATTTGAGAACAATTTAGCGTCGACTTGCAAAATTGAATGTGGCTTAATTCTATGATCCCGTGTATCTACCCTGGAAAGATCCTGGACAAGGAGACTGAGGATGCTCCCTGTGGCACTAGATCTCGATTGTGGTTATCTATAGGGAGGAAAGAAAAGCTATGGGTTGAGTAAGAGACAAATAATGGCCTTCAATTTATCTGTAATGTTTTATGCCTTCATGTGGGGATTGGGGACCTAGTTGTTCCTTATGTGATTACTTACAATGGTTGGTTTGTCTGAATGTTTTCATAAAAAAATATTTAAAAAAATAAGAATTACTTACCAAACTATCCACATCTATGCTGGAGTTCACAGCCCACTGCAGTGTACTCATGATATTCATGGCTAATGTCAGCACGATACCCACTGTTCCTTCTCCGTCACCTTAGGGGTAACAAAGATAGAAACAAACGTTATGTTGATCCCGGTGAACCCATTTGTTCACACCTCTCCTGGGGCATACATCATTTAAAGTTACATTTCAATTTTGTGTCAGTTTCAACCAACTTTCATCTAAGTTCACCACCTATCACTAGTCAGAATGCCCTGCGAATAGTGAGTGTTCAGTCAGTGTGTTAAATCAAAGAAAGATGGAAGATTCGGAAAGAGTTGCCCATTTTCCAATGCTTTAGGTACTGAAGAGGCCGTAGGTGCGGGACACAAACCATGTTTATCTTTTCTACTGTTACTCTGTGGGTAACAATACTTGCAAAGACCACAGTGGACAATGGGGAAAAGCCCTGGGTGTCCATGAGCTCGGCGAATTCAGATGCTGCTGGGAAGAAAGCGGGCTTACAGTCTCACAGGGAGCTCCGCAGGTCTGCCATTTGGAAAGAGAGGACTGCCGTTTATGTTATAAAAAAACGAGTTCACCCAGGAAGAACAAAACCTAAGTGTTTATGGAGTAAATAGATTTTCAGGGCTATGGGGAGGACCACTAATTAAAATTCATAGGTATTCAGTATTTATGACCATTAAAATGTTCTAATACAAATGTTCTTAAATTATTATAACTTCATGTTATCAAATCACAATTAAAAGTAAGCCTTTGTGTCTATTATGCATGATAAACTTGTCATAGTGTTTTAAAAGACAGAAGAGCCGGAACCGGTTTGGTTCAGCGATAGAGCGTCGGTCTGCGGACTGAAGGGTCCCAGGTTCGATTCCGGTCAAGGGCATGTACATTGGTTGCGGGCACATCCCCAGTGGAGGGTGTGCAGGAGGCAGCTGGTCGATGTTTCTCTCTCATCGACGTTTCTAGCTCTCTGTCTCTCTCCCTTCCTCTCTGTAAAAAAATCAATAAAATATATTAAAAAATAAATCAATAAATAAAAATAAAAGAACAAAACTTACCAGGAATGAGGCTTTTTTATGTGAGTGTGTGTAAATGCTGATGATTCTATTCTTGTATTCATAGAGCTCTTTATTGGAGAGCTCTATTACTTTTTAACTAGAGGCCCAGTAGACAAAATTCGTGCACTAGTAGTGTCCCTAGTGGCTGCTGGCTCCAAGCCAGTACTCTCTTCCACTACCCCTGCCACCCCCACTCTCCCCCCCTGCCTACCACTGGCCTGCCCCATCCCCTGGTCTAACTCCAAGGTTGAGGGGACAATTTGCATACTACGCTTTTATTAAGATCCTTTGCCAATATGAGAGTCCAGAAATGTATTATTTTTTACAATCATAGATTTGTTATCTGACTTGCTCTTTGTCTCAGTCTTTTAGACCACAAAATTGGGATAATACTATAGACAGTTCTAATTCAAAGGCATCACTGTTTAACAACAAAACAATAGAAATTCAAGGAAATAATTTGTTCAACAATAAGCTAACAAATGTTTTGATTAACAAATGCCCCCAAATTGGTTTAAAGATATCTAAAATTTTAAGCTAAAATCGTAGCATTTTGTTGGTTGACAACATCTTAAATTAAATGTTTAGCTAACTACTAAACAACTTCATAGTACCTGTTGTTAAAATGGAAATGAAGGTAACAGCAATGAAGAAGATGACAAAAATCATTTCTATTCTCATTTGGAACCAGCGTAGGGTTGACAGGTACAAGAACCAGTTGGCAGTATGTAAATTCAGAGCTTTGTGGAACAGTATTTCAAAGTAAGGCTGACGTCCAAAGGCACGAAGCGTCCATAGTCCTTTCAAGCTTGTAACCAGGTGAGTGAAAATGGGACTCCTGCCTGTGAAATATTCCCATAGAAAACAATGCAAATCATGTAAAAGCACAATGCAAATTCTTACTACCACATACCTGGTAAAGATTAGCTTAAAAGACAGCTTAAATGTCATTAGCTAGAATGGTTTCCATTCTGGTGCCACACTTGGAATAGATGAAATTTATAAATTTTTAATGTTACCCTCCTTTTATAGTTGGCTACCATGGATGGGAACTTAATATAAAATCACTGTCATTATTTATTCATGTTTCTTGGTTACTTCTAGTCAGTTTTTCTGGCTAATCCTAAATTAATCACCATTGAGTGAAAATGGCTTTCTTTTAAAACTATTTATTCAAACCCTTAAGATTGTTTAAAAGATTTAATTTAACAAATAATTTTCAAAGCAGAAATGCACTTGAAATTTAGCCCCTGAGAAAGCACCTGCACCAAGGCTGTTATGGAAAATGTGCCTCCCAAACAGCTCAAGCAGAATTTGGGGCACAAAAAAGCAGACCTGAGGAGAGAAAGGAAGGGTGTCTGAAAATAAGCCAGAAGGAAGAATTTTGTGCAATATTGTTTAGAAACTCAGACAAACTTTTAGGAATAGTAGCACTATCCTTTTAAAATTTAACTTATATAAGTAAATTGTGAATGAATATCCTTTATAACCCTAGTAAGACTCTAGATAGTTGTTTTAAAATCAAAATGAGCCTGGCTGGTGTGGCAAACTTGTTGAGCAGTGACCTTTGAACCAGGAGATCATGGTTCAATTCCTGGTCAGAGCACATGCCTGTGTTTCTGGCTCCAACCCAAGGGACAAACAGGAGGCAGCGAATTAATGATTCTCTCTCATCATTGTTATATATATATATATATATATATATATATATATATATATATATATATATATATATATATATATATCTCCCCCTCTGAAATCAATAAAAATATATTTTTTAAAAGTATTAAAAAAAAAACAACGAATTCACATACTCTTAATTAACAAAACCAATCTATGTGTACTTTGTAATTTACAGTTTCCTTTTATATTCATACTAGTGGCCCAGTGCATGAAATTTGTGCACAGGGGTGGGGTGGGGGGAGGATGGAGAGGGTTCCTCAGCCCAGCTTGCACCCTCTCCAATCCAGGACCCCTTGGGGATGTCCAACTGCCGGATTAGGCTCAATCCCTGTTGGACATCCCTTTTGCAATCTGAGACCACTTGCTCCTAACCACTCACCTGCCTGCCTGCCTGATCACCCCTAACTGCCTCTGCCTGCCTGCCTAATCTTACCCCCAACTGTACTCTCCTGCCGGTCTGATCTTGCCCAGTCTTTGCCTCTCTTTGTTTTTCTCAGAAATCCTTCAGGCCTCCCTGCCTCCCTCTTCATCTTTCCTGGCTGGGCAAGGGTAGGGTCAGTGGGGGCCGCTCCCTCCTCTGGCCACCTATCCTTCCATCCAGGCCTCTTCAGGCCCATCTATTTTCTTTCCTCATTCTGAGAGGATCATATGATCTGGTTTCTCTTCAGATCGCATAAATCTTTCGCTTTTTACTAAGAGAGGATCCGAGAGAAAGCTGGGAGGGAGGGAAAGAAAGGGAGAAAAGGCTGTGAGCTGGTGGGCACTGTGTATGTGTGTGTGTGTGTGTGTGTGTGTGTGTGTGTGTGTGTGTGTGTGTGTGTGGTTGTGAGTGAGTGTGAGTACTGGCTCTGCCTCCCCCGTTCCTGTCTCCGCTACCACAAGTCCGGACCCACCAGAGCCTGCTGGGTGTTAGGTCAAGCCTCCAGTCATTGTGGATGTGATGGACCCAGAGTTTTTATATATTAGGATACTTTTAATCCTCACTCACGGATATATTTTGTTTTGTTTATTTATTTATTTTTATTTGAGAAAGAGAGAAAGTGAAAACAACAACATCGATGTGAGACAGAAACATTGATCAGCTGCCTCCTGTACATGCTCAGACTGGGGATCAAACCTGCAACCTAGGTATGTGCCCTGACCGGGAATCCAACTCACAAGCTTTTGGTGTACAAGACAATGCTCCAACCAACGGAGCCACCCAGCCAGGGCTTTATCCATACACTTTTTAAAAGTCATTGTTATATAATGCAAAAGTTTACAAGCAGGAACATTTTTTTTGAAACTTAGATTAATAATAGAGAATTATGAGTAGCTCTTGCGGACATTTTCTGAGGTGAGCGTTGCACCCTCAGTGTCATACCTTCAGATTCCAGTTGCTTGAGTTGCTGGGAGGTGTGGAGAAAGTAGGCTCTCAATAAAACAAAAGCAGCGATCACTGGCACTGTTGCTAAGAGGATGTAGGGCTCTAAAACTGAGACCACCGCTACAGCTCCAATCACAATTAATACCAGCTGCAGGATCAAAGAAAGCACGGTGGTGTGTAAATATTTTCATGTTGCAAAGAGGACAAGGTATGTCTGTCAGCAGTATATTTCTAAATAGCTTTTCACACTCTGTTCCACCCTCAATAAAAGGCAGGCATTTTCTACTAGGACAGCTGTCATCTCCAAGTACTTTCTCATAAGTTTTCTTTGAATATTCAAAAATTGTTTCGGTACCACATAATAACATTTTGAAGTTTAGAAAACATGGTGATCTTGGATCTCTTAGTGTGCTAACTTCCTGAACACAATACTTTGGGAAGGGTGACTTCTTTTTTCTAGACTGACCCACTTTTTAAAAATAAACTTTAATGAATAAGATAATTTCCATATGAATGTGAAATTTTAGTATTTATTTTGCTTAGACAATTTGTAAAAATATGGGCATTCATCTTGAAACCTTTTGAGTCAGAAAGATCTGGTTGAAATGTATTATCATTTAAGCAAGCTACTTAATTTTTCTGAACCTAGTTTTCTCATGTTTAAGATTGAAAAAAATATATACTTAATTAAATGTTACTCCCTTTATCCAAAATCCTGTTTCTGTTCCTTCAAACAATTGAAGATGACCTAGAGGCCCCTCCCCCCCCCCCCCAAAAAAAAAAAGATTTGGGGGTATGGCTAATTTAATTTAAAATTGGGTAATTTTTTCTATCTACTATGTTGTCAAAATAATTTTGTGTTTTGGTAAAGTCCAATTTTGTGTTTTGGTAAAGCTAAGGTTTACATTATTCACCAAAAATCTGGAGCCCTGTTGGAAGTCTCAGAAATAATCTAACCACGTTGATGTTCTTCAGGATTGATTAAAGGCTTAAATTCTATATTTCCACATGACAAATCCAGACATTTAAAAAAAACAAAACAAAACACAAGTCTGCTAACTTTTATTCCACGATAATGCTTTTGAATAAGTATAAACTGTTATAACAAGAGTTAAAAAATAAACCTATGATAATGAGTCAGTTCTCTACCAATTTCCAGGCTAACACATGCATTACGCAGATAGTGGGATACAGAACATTTTGGTAGATGTGAGTAGGATGTGGGTGTAGCTAAAATCTGCATAAATCTTCTTTGAGTAGGTTATTTTCATCTAAAATTTATAATCATATCTCCTTGACACTTTTGTAGGGAAAATACCTGCACATCTTGAGGCATCAAATTCTACAATACCAGCCCTCCACTCATTCAACAAATATCCAGAAAATATTTACTGCCAGACACTGAACTAAATACATATGATGGCTCCATAATCCCTTTTCCATTCTGAGCCAACAAGTGCCATCAGCACAGTGAGAAAGCTCCTGGTGCCCTATACTACATGACAAGACTTTGCCAAGGGGAAACTGTAGCTTTATAATGAAGGATCCTTTTCCCAAAAAAAAATAAAAATAGGATATTTTGGGGAGAAAAGAGAAAAATTCTGATCTAAGCATGATTAAGGAATATGACAATTTAAATGGGCAATCATATTAAAGAGCAGTGTGAAGGACAAATGCTGATACATTTGTAGCATGCGAACATTCAGCTACTCCATCAGGTCTTTTGTTTGCTGTTGACAACTATAAATGTACTGTGTCCATTTGATTTCTGACATATTTTCCACATGTCTGGGTAGTCAACTAACCAATATATCACACTGGGTTAGAGAAGAATGGAGAAGGCAGGTACAACTGGAAATGATGAAACATTCACAAGATAGATTTCCAGCGATTAAAATAACCCAGAATCGAGCCCAAACTGAGAAATAAATGAAAAAATAAGCCTAAGTATTGAGGAAAATAGTTCTATTTGCTCCATACAAGTCCACCTTTAGGCACTAAAGTTAGAATTTAATAATTTAGCATTATGTGCAAAATTGAAGGCACTGATTTAATATATTTGATATTCAGATTACACAATGAATCCTTGAATTCTGCCCTATTTTAATTGACAATGGTTAAGAAACAAGTTTTTTTAGACTGGATATATTAGTGAGAAGACAACAAAATAGATAAACAGAGGGACTTCAGGACAAGATAAAAATTTGAGCACAAACTTCTAAATCCCATTCATTCTTACCCAAATCCTACACTTCATCAGAAGAAAAATTCAACAAGACTATAAAACCTGCAAGGCACCATTCATTCATGCTCTTAGGAAGTGGGTAGCACATTTTTAATCACCCAAGCATCTCATAAACATCCCTGATACTGACAGTCACACAGCACTGCCTGGAACTGGAGTTGATAAGGGTAAATGGTCACTTTGAAATCAGTAATTAATTGATAAATAAGTGAATACATATTAATTTAAAACTATGCATGCATACCAGATTTGGAATTCATAAATGATGGACCTTGAGAATTTTTAGTAAGGATTAAATGGAATTAATAGTATGAATAGCAAAAAAAATGTGAAAGACACAGTAGAAATCAAAGTAGCAAGACTCAATGTGTAATCCTAATATATAAAAAGCCAAGGGCTGTCACACTGAAAAACAAAACAAAAAAACAGACAGACACCCAAACAGCAGGCTGTATGGGGTGACCAGACTGGCAGGGGGGTTAAGGAGGGACAACCAAACAACTGTACATCAGGCTGTGTGAGATGACCAGGCTGGCAGGGGGGCAGCTAGGGGTTATTTGGCTAGCAGGCAGAGGCAGTTAAGGGGTGATAAGGCTGGTGGGGGGGGCAGTTAGGGGTGATAAGGCAGGTAGTGGAACAGTTAGGAGCCAGCGGTCCTGAATTGTGAGAGGGCTGTCGAGTGCTGGTTTAGTCCCAATCCGTAAACCAGCAGTTGGACATTCCCCAAAGGGGTCCCAAATTGGAGAGAGTGCAGGCTGGGCTAAGGGGACCCCTCCCCTTGCATGAATTTCATGCACCAGGCCTCTAGTCTTATGTAATAAAAGCCTAATATGCTAAGTGTATGGTCAACCAACTGGCTGATCAACCAATCAAAGCATAGTATGCTAATGATATGCTAAGGCTGCTCAAATGCTCACTGTGACATGCACTGACCACCAGGGGGCAGATGCTCCAACCAGTAGGGTTAGCTTGCTGCTGGGATCTGGCCTGATTGGGACTGAGTGAGATGGACCAGATATACCCTGGAGCCCTCTCATGGTCCCTCCCTGGCTGGATCTTCATTTTTGTTATATGATATCTAACCCAGAAAGTAAAATTGCCAGAACATTAAATGTTAGAAAATAGAGTAAAGAGAACATTTATTTATAATTAATTTTTAAAAGAAAATTTATAGGTATGCTTTATTTGTACAAAAATTTGTTCCTGAAATGTACCTAAAATTAAATTAATCAGAGCATAATTAAATATAACCAGAGGAGCCCTAGCGGGTTTGGTTTAGGAGATAGAGTGTCAGCTTGTCAGTTTGTGGATTGAAGGGTCCTGGGTTCAATTCGGGTCAAGGGCACATGCCTGGATTGCAGGCTCAATCCCAGTAGGGGGCGTGCAAGAGGCAGCTGATCAAGGATTCTCACTCATCATTGATGTTCCTATCTCTCTCTCCCTCTCCCTTTCTCTCTAAAAATCAATAAAAGGATATATATATATATAAATATATATCCATCTCCAGAGAAGCTCACAATTTAAAGAGCCCCTGTGATAATTTTTAAAATAAAGTTGAAATTAATCAGATTTTTACTATATTTGATTGTCATATATTATGCTTCCTTATTGTAGACCTTTCTACAAATTAAACAGGGAAATTAAGAGCCCTGCCCAAACCCTTGTGATACAAGAACTAAAGACTCCCAACATCAGAAATTAAGCAGAAACTATTCATATTGCCAAAAAGAAAGCATTTGAGAATCATCCCTGTGTCAAAAATTGTTAATTTATAAATGAATATCTACAAATTAATCTCCCAGAAGGACTTATGAAGTGATCCTTATATTGACTCAGAAAATACTCAGTAGACTACAAAAGTAGGGGGAAAACTATCATGAATCCTTTGCAATCATGTCAAAATATCTGTGTTCCAGTTTGTGCCTGATTTCACAATATTACATTTGGGACCAGTCATTTACATTCCTGAAACAAGGAACAACGTCCATCATTAGAGAAAGACGGAGGAAGCATTCCTTCAAATGCACAAACCCAAAGCACCAGTTAAAGAATTCCAGCAGCCACTGGAGTTATATCCCTCATCAGCACAGCTGAAGGAAATCCAAAAAGTTAAAGTTCACTTAGAACAGTTAATGCGTTTGATCCTGCCCATCAATTCACATGAGGCAAACTGGCAATCTGGTTTTTCTGCATTGCCAAGGTTGCTTGTATATACACACAAATGTGGAAGCCCTTATTTTGTTGTATGGATTCTCTCAAATAGCATATTGTTATTATTGAGGGGTAGGAGAGCGTGAAAGTAGGTGGGATGTGAGAATGACTCATGGCAAGATGGGATGTATTTTGTTCCAACTGTCTCATCAGGGAGATCGTGGAGACTGTGGCATTTGCTCTCTGGGGCTCGACTGAAGTCAGGCAGGAGCTGTTTTAAACCTGGTCCAACAGCTACGGTTATTATTTCACAACACACCTTAAGTCCTGCCACTTATGGAATCCTAATGCAGTATCCCATAGCTTACCCCTATCTCCATCACCTTCTTCTTTATTCTCACCACAGTCCACCACCACACTCCAGAGACACATGCTCAAAAACAGGCTGCACCGGAGGCCTCTTCAGCTCTGGATCACCCAAGGACAGTCCTCGCTAGTCCTTTATTTTTCTTTCCCCTCTCACCCTCTTAAACATTTATTTATAATTCTGTCCCTGCATTATGGTCCTTACTATGAGGTGGATGGCTACCTAATCTGTGCAAAAGTACTCCTGGTTGAAACTGTAGCCCACCAAAGAACTGGTTTTCATTTTAACATGGGCCCTCTGGCTGTAGGTGACTTCCATCAAGCAGTGAGGCTGCTGTCAAAAAATGTCATACGTCCTGGACAGTAATTTGGGGGAAGGTGGTTTATTATAATTCTCAAATCACTCCCAAGTAGATGATTATTACATCTTAATATGGAATTGCTTTGGATTTGGGTCAGGTAAAGAGTTCTAAGTTGTCTCTGAATCTACTAAAATTATGATTACTTTAAAGACTTTTGATATTGACAAAATTCATACAATAGATGGATTTCAACTCTCAAGCAAATGAAAAATACACAAAAACTCATTTACTTCTCTTACTAATTATTTTTAAAAGCATGACAAATGCAAAAACAATCATACTTATTTTACAAAGACAAACCTGGATGAAGTCAAATATGGTAAGAGGCAGAAGATCATCCAAAATTGCTATATCTTTGGAAAATCTATTAAGAATTCCACCTGTAATATAAAAGAAGATAAATTTCTCAACAACCAGTAATCTTAACAATACATTAATATTTCATAAATCTGGATCATAGTGGAAGCATTCAGAACTCAAATAAGACTTACCATGTAATCAAATAAAAATTTAGAAAAATTTAGTGTTCTACAAAGGTTTTAAGTAATTGTGTTCAAGTTATTGTCTCCCACTTTTAAACCTTTATAAAATATAGATTGTAGTAAGATTCAGGCCAAAATTAATGACTGTAATAGAGCCCTTATCATAAATTATGACAGGAAGGGGTACTCATCCTACTACAATCTCACACTTGCCAGCCTGGCTATGTTCTCATCATTCACTTACACCTGTAGTCAGACCATATAGCTCTCTTTCTCTGACTTCCTCCCTTTTTGACTCACTTCTGCAGAACCCGTGGCTTCTCCAGTACCTACTCTACATGTACATCTTCAGCCATGTTCTCCCTTTCTACCCTCTTCACTGGCAACCTGAGTTTCAGCCTGTTCTCTAAAGTCCAGACTCACATTTATAAGCCTGGTAATTTCTTCTTTAACTAGAAAAGAATTATATATGAGATGTCTACTATGCATCAGGCACAATGCAAGGCCCTGAGGTGACTCAGGTGAAAGCTCTGTGCTCCGTGTCCTTGAGGAATTCATTGTCTAGATTTGGTGAAACCATAACATATGATGTACAAGCAAAGTGATAGTGAATCTTATCATTCACCACCACCCCCATTAACTGCAGGATAAAGTCCAAAATTCTTAGTTTAATAGTTAATGCCATCTATGATTTGGCCTTAAGTCCCTTAGTTAATACAAGCCTTGTCTACTCAAACATTCTGTTTCAGCCAAATTGTTTGATTCTTTTACAAACTTTATATTTTAATTATAGTTGGCATATAATATATTAGTTTCAGGTACAAAACAGTGGCTAGATATTTATATATCTTACAAAGGGATCACCCCAATAAGTCTAGTACCCACCTGGCACCATAGTTATTACAATATTATTGACTTTATTCGCTATGCTGTACTTTACTCTCCCGTGACTAATTTTATAACTACCCCTATTTTCCGGTGTATAAGACAACTTTTGAAACCAAAAAAAGTCAACCAAAAATCGGGGGCAAAAGACCAAAATTGCACAAAAATTACCTGCAGATCTTGACGGCAAAGTAAGTCTTTTCTTTGAAGTGGGAGGTAGTCTTATATAGCGAATATAGGCCTAAACTTATGTTTTAACTGTAAAATTAGGGGGTCGTCTTATAAGCCGGAAAATATGGTAAATCCCTTTCTTGATTTCTTTTTTTTTTTTAAATTGATTTCAGAGAGGAAGGAAGAGAGTGATAAAAAAAAAAAAAAATCAATGACGAGAGAGAATCATTGACCACTTGTCTCCTGAACGCCCCCCACTGGGAATCGGGCCCACAACCCAGGCATGTACTCCCAACTGGAATCAAACCCAGGACCCTTTAGTCCCCAGGTTGATGCTCTTCCACTGAGCCAAACCGGCTAGGGCTTGGTTTATTCTTTAAATACTCTTGACACCCTCTTACTCCCCTATGAGGTTCCCTCTGCCTGAAAACCATTTCCTCTCATCTTTGTCAAATCTATGTCTTCTCTCCCTCCTGGGCCAATTCAAAGAAGCTTTTCCTATAAAGAAGCATCAATGTTTGCACCAGCTCCTCCTCTGGACACACTTAATATCTTTACTATGTCTTGTCAGCACCTCTGTGTTATAATGACTATACCCATGTCTCATACCATAGTTGCTTGTATTACATTTCTTATCTCTGTTTCTAAACTATAAATTGCTAGAGGTCAGTGGAACCTCGTGACATTTATTTCCATTTAACGCTCATCCAAAAGCCTTATATGTAAGTATTTAATGCATATTTTTAAAAATAAATCTTTATTGTTCATATTATTACAAATGTTCCTCATTCCCATCCCCCTCCATTGCTCCCCTCCAACCCACCCTCTGTCCTTTCTCCACCCCACATTGTCCTCATCCATAGGTGCACAGTTTATGTTCAGTCTCTTCCTGCACCCCCCTCTCTCTTATCCCCGAGAATCGTCAGTTCACTCCCCTTCCATACCTCTGATTCTATTATATTCAACAGTTACTATTGTTCATCAGATTTTTTTTTTAATTCCCTTGGTTTTTAGATTCACTTGTTGATTGTTATGTATTTGTTGTTCATAGTTTTATTTATTTACTTTCTCGTCTGAAAGAACCCCCTTCAGCAATTCATATAATTCTGGTTTGGCAGTGATGAACTCCTTTAGCTTTTTTTTTATTAGTGAAGTCTTTGTCTGGCCTTTGATTCTGAGTGATAGCTTTGCTGGGTAGATTATTTTTGGCTGAAGGTTTTTGCTATTCATCACCTTGAATATTTCTTGCCATTCCCGTCTGGCCTGCATGGTTTCTGTTGAGAAATCAGCTGACAATCGTATGGGTGCTCCTTTATAGGTAACTACCTGCTTTTCTCTTGCTGCTTTTAATATTCTCTCTTTGTCTTTTGCTCTTGGAATTTTAATTATAATATGCCTTGGTGTGGTCTTCTTTGGATTCCTTTTGTTTGGAGTTCTGTGTGCTTCCTGGACTTGTAAGTCTAATTCTTTCACCAGGTGGGGGAAGTTTTCTGTCACTATTTCTTTCAGTATGTTTTCGATATCTTGCTCTCTCTCATCTTCTGGGACCCCCATAATTCTGATGTTGGTTCGCTTGAAGTTGTCCCAGAGGTTTCTTACATTATATTCAACTTTCTGGATTCTCTGGTCTTCTTGCTTCTGCAGAGAAGTGTCTTCTGGCTCTTTGTGTTCCAAATCTTTGACTTGATTCTTGCGATCTTCCATTCTGTTTTTAGGACTCTGTATAATATTTTTTATTTCAGACAATGTATTCTTTATTTCTTGTTGATCCCTTATTAGTTCTTGTTGATCCCTTATTATTTCTTATTGATCCCTTTTCATTTCCTTATAGGTCTTATTGATCTTTTCTAGGAAATTCTTGAAAAACCTTATAAGCGTGGTTTTGAACTCTATATCCAGTCTCTTTTTTTTCTCCATTTCTTTTGTTTATGATCTATTTTCTTGTCTCGGCATTTTCACAGCTGAGTTGGTAGGGTGGCTTTGTGTGCTAAGGTGTCCTATATGGTACAGTGAGTCAGCCTCCCAGTTACCTGAGGTGGACAATCTTGGTGTAGCCCTTTGTGGGCTGTGTGTTCAGTCTTGTTGTTAAGCCTTGCTTGATGTTGGTATCACTGTGAGCGTTACCAATTGGCTATGAGGATCAGAAGTATCTCAGCTAGGAGGGTTTCTGTATTCCGCTTGAATGGGGCGGAGTCTCAGGGTAGCATAGACAAGCTTTGTTGAATCCCGCACAATTGGTTGCAGACAAGCTTTAGATTCTTGTTTGCCCCTCCCTAGGAGAGTCCTATTGGCAGCAAACGAGGAAGCTAGCCACTGGAAGGGCTTCTATGCTCTGCTTCGATGGGGTGTAGTCTCGGGTGGTGCAGACAAGCTTTATTCAGCCCCTCCCTACGAGGGTCTGGTTTCTGAGTCCTGCAGAAATGGCCACTGGCTTCACACACCTCCGAGAGATCTCTGCCCATTGCCTGACAGTCTGGCCTCTCCCTGTCTGGGGCCGTCTATCAGTGCAATAGGGTGGTTCTGTTTTCCTCCCAAACAAGAAAGCCAGCCGCACATTAGCTGTCTGCCCTCTCCACGTGCAGGGTGTAAGCCAGTAGCAAACTCATCCTGCTCTCTCCGTGCTTTGCAAGCAAGCTGGCAGTAAAATCCGAGGCCGCTTTTTCACTCGCACAGTTTTCCGTACCTTCACAGTTCCTGAGGTTCAGCGCGCCTTCTTTCTACTTCCCAGATGGTAGAGCCTCCTCTTAGCCAGCCGTCCGGCTCTTCAGGGTGATGTTTCCCCTGTTTTCAGTTCTAAATTCAAATTTGTTGTGGTAGGCTGCATGCGGGTGTCTACCCTATGCCGCCATCTTGGTTTCTCTTTAATGCATATTTATTAATTTAAATATTATTGATAAAGGCAAGGAAATATTGGTGACTGCTGATTATAGCAGAGAATATGTAGGTAACATAATAAGAAATGGGGCATAAATCAGTAACAGCAATGTTTTCTTAAAATAAAGCATCATCCTTGCATACAGAAATTGGGGGTGTGGGTAGGGGTGGGTTAAGAACATGTTGTAAGGTCATCTTGCTATTTCAGTTTTCATCAGCGTAAGGGAAAAATGCAAAAACAGGTATTTCAGAATCATTCTATAGATTAAAGTTTGGAAAATAAGATAAATGAGAAAATGAAATGAATAGTAACCATTTAATTATGAAAGAGAGAAGATTCTTACTATTTCAGTTCTCATGAGCATAAGGAAAAATGCAAAAATAGAGATGATTCGGGATCATTTTACAAAGCAGATTAAAGTTTGGAAAATAAGATGAATGAGAAAATGAAAAGAATGATAACCATTTAATTATGGAAGAGAGAAGGTTCTTAACCACGAGGTGTAGTGTTCAGGGGAATGAGGAGCTCTGAAACATGAAGAGGGGAATGGAAAGGACACCCCCGTGGGAATAAGGCCCCTCAGAAGGAACAACAGGGAACTGACGTTTATTTCATGTTGGCTATGCAGCAGGAAGATTGCCTGTTTCATTCTCACAATGGTCCTCTGAGGTCCCCATTTTGCAAGTACAAAAGCAAGGTTCAGGCTCAGAAGAGTAACTTGACCATAATCATCACTCGTATGGTGACAAGCCAGAACTCAAACATTTCCCATGCTCTTTGCAGTACTTCTCATTGCCCATTTATGGCTGCTGGCAACTTGGATGAATCCTCTATCTTCTCTGGGTCTCAGTTATTCCATTAAGAAAGAAAATAAAATTATTGAATCAAGGTATCTAACATTCCTTTTAGGTCTAAAATGTCTTAGCTTTAAAACATGGTAATACAGGGATCATATCTCAACACTAGAGGTCTGGTGCACAAAATTTGTACATGGGGCAGGGGGAGGAGGTGTGGAGAAGATGTTCCTCAGCCCGGCCTGCATTCTCTCCAATCTGGGACCCTTTGGGGGATGTCCAACTGTCGATTTAGGTCCAATCCCAAACCAGCAGTCAGATATCCTTCTCACAATCCCGTTGTGAGCTCCTAACCTCTCGCCCGCCTGCCTGCCTGATTGCCCCTAACTGCTTCTGCCTGCCAGCCTGTTCGCCCCGTAACCACCAGTATGATTGACACCTAACTGCTCCCCTGCTGGCCTGATCACCCCCAACTACCCTCCCATGCTGGCCTACTCAAAACTGAAAGCTTCTAACCTTTTACCAACCTCTCTACTGGTATTAAAAAATACTTTAAAAATACATTAGGGGCCAAAATGGTTTGGCTCAGTGGATAGAGCCTCGGCCTGTGGGCTGAAAGGTTCTAGGTTCGATTCAGGTCAAGGGCATGTACCTTGGTTGTGGGCACATCCCCAGTAGGAGGCAGCTGAAGGATGATTCTCTCATCAATGTTTCTAACTCTCTATCCCTCTCTCTTCCTCTCTGTAAAAAATCAATAAAACATATTTAATAAATAAATAAATAAATAAAAATACATTTGGGGTGCTCGCTTCGGCAGCACATATACTAAATTGGAATGACACAGAGAAGTTTAGCATGGCCCCTTGGCAAGGATGACACACAAATTCGTGAATGTTCCATTAAAAAAAAAAAAGACACTTGGGATTTCAACCACCACCAACCTTACCCACTCATCCCCCTCCTCCAAAAAGGATTAAAAAAACCTGAAACCGCCGAAATCGGTTTGGCTCAGTGGTAGAACATCAGTCTGCGGACTGAAAGGTCCCGGGTTCGATTCCGGTCAAGGGCATGTACCTTGGTTGCGGGCATATCCCCAGTGGGTGGTGTGCAAGAGGCAGCTGATGGATGACTCTCTCTCATCGATGTTTCTAACTCTCTCTATTCCTCTCCCTTCCTCTCTGTAAAAAATCAATAAAATATATATATTTTTTTAAAAACCTGAAACCAATTTGTATGATCAACTTTGAACAGCTACAGGAAACTAGATTATTTTACTCCACCAAAAACTTTATCTGTAAAAGAATTCTATGTCTTCCTTGATTGCTTCAAATCTACTCTTTTCAACAACACTGACCATTGGCAGCAAGATGCCATGAAGGGGTTTGGCCCCACAGCTGAACGGAGAACAACTGACCCAGAAAGGTCGACTGTGGCTATTGCAATGCCATCAGCATCGCTCTTTTTTTTTTTTTTTTAAATATATTTTATTGATTTTTTCACAGAAAGGAGAAGGATAGAGACTTAGAAACATCAATGAGAGAGAAACATCAATCATCTGCCCGCAACCAAAGTACATGCCCTTGACCGGAATCGAACCGGGGGCCCTTGAGTCCACTGAGCCAAACCGGGTAGGGCCGCATCGCTCTTTAACAAACGGAGCTACTCCAGTGAACGGATACAGAAAGGTGAAGAGCAACACTATCTGACAGTCTACAGCATCTGAGAAATGCATGCCTGTCATAAGGAAGCGCAGCAAAGTTCAGATGCCTCTCTCTGTGCGAAGCCAACACTACGGCCGGAAAACCAACCACATCACAGGCCCTTCTGGCGCTGGATCAGCAGCTTCAGTTTGTAAACCCAGTCACGTACCTGCTTTCAACGTGTTGAGGGTGGACATAGGTGCATGAAGAACAGAATGTAACATTTTGTGGTGTAAATTTTTTGACACTGTGATTAGAGAATGCACTAGTGGTAAACCTCGGAAGAATCCCAGAGCAAGCAAAGTGTCTGCTACTCCCACATAAATGTAAAAAACATAAAATTCGCTGGTTTTGGTGATGATCACTGGAGAGCTGTTATTTGTACTTGCAGTGCTATTCCCTTTGTCTGGAGTAGATTGTCTGTAAAGAAAAAGGAACTGTTACTCAGCAACAAAACCTTCCCATTGACCTTCCAATACTCTATGTAAAGGAAACAGAAACTGAGTCTAAAGAAACACAAATATTTCATGAGCAGAGCTTATGACATTAATCTCAAGAATTTACTATTGCAATAAAGTAGATTAAACTTTTTCACCATTGAAATAGATAAAATGAATTCTTATTAAGTACTCAAAGAAAATTCTAACATATAATGTTTTAAATATTTTCCTTGTGTTTCACGGAACAACTAAATTCTTTAGAAATTGGTGAAAAGTTGCAAGATTTGCACATGCTCACAATTTTAAACAAAATAATTCTATTTTTCACTTCTATGATATTGTAGGAAAATGAAGCACAGTGGATATTACAATACTTAATAAGACCCGAATAATCAATAGTAACAAAATACAATCCACAATAGGACATGGAATACTCACTTTCTAAGAATCCACAACACAACCAAAGAGACAGCCACCTGGAATGGAACAATCAAGACACAGTTGATTTTTTTCCCCCCATCATCTTTACCTGCTCTTCCCAAACCCACCTCTAATTCCACCATGACCAACATAAAAAAAAAAATCATTATTTGTAGTAAGTTAATGGGATTTAAATTTCACTGAATTAAATACTTTGTCATTTTTTCCTTCATTCAACAGGAAGTATTCATTACCTCACAGGAGAGCTAAGATCATAAATTAATGTTTTAAATAAACTTTGTTTCTTATAAAGAGAGTAATCTCAGCCTGCTAGCCGATAATTTATCTGGTTATTTATAATCAGATAAATAATTTCATTTGACTTGCAATGATTATGAGGGGCTAATCTCTATAAGACCAATTAATTATTGGAAGAGATGAGATTATTATTTATGAAAATCAGTTAAAAGTCTCAACAGTACAAAACCTCACAGTTTATGAATAAAGATAAGGTGCATTCAAGATGTTATCGGTACTATTTGGGCTTTCTCAGGTGGAAGCTTTTGGCTGAGGGACAAATGTTTTATGCCATAACTAAACAAAACAAAATTTCAACAACTAAGTGTGCTTTTTTACTTCCTTTGATATATAAATGATCTGTTTTATATCAATTTGATTTTATAGTCTCTTAAACTTGTGGAAAAACAATCTTTTGTTGATGCCCCCACAATTATAATATTAGAAATGACTGAAATGATACAATTTGCTCAATATACCAAAAATTCAAATAGAAAAAAATAACACAAGAAATTGTGAGTAAAATAATTTGAAAATAAACAGCATAAAAATAAGGAAGAAACAAATAGTCTTGGTATGAGAAATCTATGTCTTATTTCATACTCAGATGTATCTGAAGTATGTAAAAATAGTATTATATAAAAATTTATGAAGAACATTTAGCATTAATTAAGAAATTACATTATAGGGGAAAGGTCAATGGGGGGAAAAGGAGTCATATGTGCTACTATTTGTAATACTTTAAACAATAAAATTAAATTTAAAATAAAGAAATTACATTGTGATGTTCTATACTTGAAAGAGATGTATCTGTGTTAGTTAAATTGACATATCAGATATGAGTATAATGATGAAAAATCTAATGGCATCAGTCTCACTTTCCTACTTTCCTTCGTGTACACAACGCCTTTATGCACTGTATTTATAAAGTGAAAAGCTATCCTTATTTCTTTGAAACTCACGATGACAAGAAACTCAACAATAATCTATGTCAAAAGTCTTTGTTCCAGTACAAATGTTTTTCTATTTCCTAAGGCTAATCAAGACACTCAAAGATGTAGACAAGGATATATTTCTGAGTCTCTCTTTGGGTATTATAGTCCCACTTTGTTCCAATAAAAGGAGTGCCAACAATGCTGGTATTGTCAACATTTTCTGGATGTGAGTAAATCCCAGAATAAATATTTTATAGCATTTACTATGGAGCAATAACCAAAGCAATTTTCCAAAGAACTTATCTAATGAGTGTGATATAAAGTTATTTCCTGGCTCTTGTGGGTAGAGACATGGAACCTGCAACCCAAACTATTTTTATTGACTGAAACAAACACCTTCCCAAATATTTGATATAATGACTTTAGCAAATATACTTGGACTATATAGAAACAATTGAGTAAGCAAGTTCTATCATTTCATTTCCAGAATGTTTTCATATTATAAAAGTTCATACAGTTTAGAATAGGATGGCAATCCGGTATGGTTAAAACAAAAAGGTCTTTATTTGCAGGGTTTTAAAGATCATTCCATGTAATAGAAAACAGTAAAATGTAGACCAGCACTGTCCAATAGAAATTTAAATGAAAGAAATATTATACATGTGCCTTGTTCAGTACTGTTGCCAGTGATCACATATGACACTTAATCAATTGAAATATGAGTAGTATATGTGAATGAAGAACCAAATTTTAAATTTTTTAAAATTAATTTTATTTAAGTTATATGATCATACATGGCTGGTGGCTACTATCCTGGACAATGTGTGCATAGATTATAATAATCATTAGTTATGTAGGTGTGCAGACAGATTATTTGTTATATATCCATGTTAAGCATCGGGATCTGATGATGGCATTCTCTGAGGATATATCCATGAATGGCCAAGATAATGATTAATGACCTTTGCAAGTGGAACCAAGATGAAAAGTAAAAACCAATATTTAAGAAGCTAGTATTAAAATTATGAAGGTAATTTGTCTACATGATTAAAAGAAAATGGATCTGAGTGTAGAATATCATAAACATACATATGGAAAGAGAAGTCATGTACCTACCTTTGAAAGACTTATTTGCTAAATGAGTTACTAAATATCTTAGGATGAGTGCTAGATGAAAGTTGATCATGTATGTAGTCTATCCTTATATTATGGTTTCAAAAAGAAGATGGAATGTAGAACTAGGACAAGAATATATCCAGGACCTATGAGGAACCCTGGTGAGATACAATTCTGATATTGACAACTAAAGAGAATAGGTTTGAAAGAGAAGAAAACTGCCAAGGGCAATGTGATAAGACATGGTTTATAAAAGGCTAAAAAATGTGAATACTAGCAAATAAGGTATAATAGTCCAACATTCTATCATGAAGAACTTTAACTGACTGTAGAAAAGACAAAACTAGATATTTCACTGTGAAAATCTGCAGAGGTTTGCAATGCTCTAGATGAGTGGTTCTCAGCCTTTCTAATGCCTCGACCCTTTAATACAATTCCTCATGCTTTGGTGACCTCCAACCTTAAAATTATTTATTTATTTATTTATTTATTTATTTATTTATTTATTAATATATTTTATTGATATTTTACAGAGAGGAAGGGAGAGAGATAGAGAGCTAGAAACGTTGATGAGAGAGAAACATCGACCAGCTGCCTCTTGCACACCCCCTACTGGGGATGTGCCCGCAACCAAAGTACATGCCCTTGACCGGAATCGAACCTGGGACCTTTCAGTCTGCAGACTGACGCTCTACCACTGAGCCAAATCGGTTTTGGCCTTAAAATTATTTTCATTGCTACTTCATAACTGTAATTTTGCTACTGTTAATGAATCATAATGTAAATATCTGTGTTTTCCGATGGTCTCAGGTGACCCTGCTAGCGGTTCTCAACCATTGGGTCGCAACAAGTTGAGAACTGCTGCTATAGAGCCTCAGACCATCAGAAAATACAGATATTTACATTATGATTCATTAACAGTAGCAAAATTATAGTTATGAAGTAGCAACGAAAATAATTTTATGGTTGGGGGTCACCACAGCATGAGGAACTGTATTAAAGGGTCGCGGCATTAGAAAGGTTGAGAACCACTGGTCTAGATGTTAAGCCTAGGTGATAACAGTAATCCCTTCCAGTCATAACAGATGTCTCTGCCTGTCCTCATGGCCACATCCAATCCATTTTTCATACAATAGACAGAGTGAGCTTTTATTCTATTTTAAATTTTAAATGTTTTATTTATTTTGAAAGAGAAGAAAGGAGAGGGAGAGAAACATCAATTTGAGAGAGAAACATTGATCAGTTGCCTACCGTATGCACCGCAGGCAGGGACCAAACCTGCAACCTGGGCATGTGCTCTGACTGGAAATAGAGCCTGTAACCTTGCAGTGCACAGTTTGATGCTCAACCAACTGAACCACACCAGCCAAGGCAAGAATGAGCTTTTTATAACATAAAGGACCACATCACATCCTGCCTGAAGCCTTTAAAAGCTTCTATTGCATCCTATCTAATAAAGGAATAACATAGAAATTGACCATCACTCCAACACATGAGATGGCTGTATCCATGTGAACACAAGATGGACGCCACAAGATGGCCAACTGGGGAGGGCAGTTAGGAGGGACCAGGTCTGCAAAGGAGGGCAGTTGTAGACAATTAAACCTGCAGGGGAGGACAGTTAGGGTTGTCCAGGCTGGCAAAGGAGGACAGTTGGGGGTGACCAGGCTTGCAGGAAAGGGCAGTTGGGGGGAACCCAGGCCTGCAGGGGAGAGCAGTTTGAAGGGACCAAACCTGCAGGGGAGGGCAGTTAGGGGTGACCAGGCCTGCAGGGGAAGGCAGTTAGGGGCAACCAGGTAGGCAGGGGAGCAATCAGGCATCAATCAGGCTGGCAGGGGAGTGGTTAGGGAGTGATCAGGCTGGCAGGCAGAAGGGATTAGGGGCAATCAAGAAGGCAAGCAGGTGAGCAGTTGGGAGCCAGCAGTCCTGGATTGCGAGAGGATGTCTGACTGCCTGTTTAGGCCCGATCCCGGTAGGGTTCCCAGATTGGAGAGTGTGAAGGCTGGGCTGAGGGACATCCCTTCTGTGCATGAATTTTGTGCATCCAGGTCTCTAGTTTAAAATAAAATATAAGCTCTTTAAAAGAGTCATTGGTGCTGGGAGTCCAGTTCTGGCCTACTTTTCTATATCATCACATGCTTCTTGCTTCTCTCTCCCACCCCCCAATTATACTAGACTCTTCTCAGTTTCCATGATTTACCAAACTCTTCACAGACCTTTGCATTTACCCAGGTGTTTGTATGTCTGAATCTTTTTATCATTTGGGTGTCAGTGGAAGTCATTTCCTCAGAAAGGCCTCCCTGCCCACCTTTATGTTAAAGCAATGTATTTCCTTCTTTCTTTTCTTTTCTTTTTTAAAATATATTTTATTGATATTTTACAGAGAGGAAGGGAGAGAGACAGAGAGATAGAAACATCAATGAGAGAGAAACATCGACCAGCTGCCTCTTGCACACCCCATACCAGGGATGTGCCCGCAACCAATGTACATGCCCCTGACCGGAATAGAACCTGGACCTTCCAGTCCGCAGACCGACGCTCTACCGCTGAGCCAAACCAGTTTCGGCATATGTTAAAGCAATGTATTTCCTCCTAGTGCTTATCATGTCTTGTAATTATTTCCATCAAACTATATTGAGTATCTCTCTCCTCCTTCAGAAAGCACTTTATAAGAGCAGAGAGAAGTCAATTGTCCTCTTTCACATGGTATCCTCAATTCCTAGCACAATATTTAGTAAACAGTTGGCATTCGGTAAATCTGTAAATAAAGTAATGTATAATAGAATAATTTAAAATATACTTCAGACATCAACAGAAAGTATACAATGATCATATAGAATACACATGAGAAAAAGAAGGTGACATATTATGTAAACATAAAGAACCAAAATCCAATTTATTCTTTGTACATGTATAGAATTCAGAACCTCCCAATGAGATCTGTGTCAAATGAAAACCTATGGAAACACTATTCATATTTTGAATTTTACCAAAGGAACACAGCATTATAAATGTTCTGTTAACATTATAAACCCAAGTACATTCATGCGCTCCATCTGTATGCTTTGTTTAGTTCTTCACTATATGCATAGTACCGAACACTGTCTGGCATATTGAGGGAATTATAAAAGTATGTGTTGAATGAGTTAAAGGCTAAATGAACGACAGGAAGAAATAGTAAAGTGACACCTTGTCATGACTTAACACTTGTCATAATTTTAATTCTTCATAGGTCAAATCGTGTCCTAAAACTGAGACCCAATTTAAGTAAAGCTGCCTTAAAAAGATGCCTGTTGACCAATAGCAGCAGTGTATTATGGGAGCATATTATGTTTCCAAGCCACCCAGGGATTCTTGATAAACAGACAGAAGGGAAATCATAAAAGAATGAGGTATAGCAGTTCTCTGACACATTTCTTAAAAGTCACAGAATGAAAGCACTCCATGGGATTTTTTGGATACTCCAACCAATAACAATAATCTCAGGTGTAAAAGGAACCAGGAAACTGCCTCCTAACCTATTATTTGCATTTTTCTCTCTATCTAGATGCCAAGCAGGAACACAAGAAAGACCAACATAAAAATTTTATAGCCTACATCCTTGGTGCTACCATCTCAGAAGTTATAGAAGGTACTATTCTATAATCTGAAAAATGGTACAAAAGTATGATAGACTGAGGCTTATCAAAATGACATACTAGTGATAAGTGGCAATAAACTGCACAGACCAAACTAATTTTTTCAGTGTATCACTGAAAATTTAAAAATGTCTATGTATTCAGTACTGTAAAAGAGAAGCTTATTCAACATATGTATATAATAAAATCTAAATTGAATTACAGCCCCTATGAAACTAAAACTAAATCACTTTCACCAAGAAATATATTTTAACCTTTCTTTAAGTTCTCTGATCATGATGAGCATGAGGCTGTAAACAAGGTTTAAAAGAACTAAACTATCTTCCAAAGCACTGATGAGATATTTCAAAGATAATGAGAAAGAGGAACACTGCTATCAAGGAGCTTAATAAAAGAAATTTAAACTATGTAAATTTTGATCAAATAAGGTACCAGAATTGTGAACATCAGTGAAAATTGTTTAGCTGCATAACTGTGCACATAATTAAAACAATTACTATTTGTCTACTATCATCATGTTTTTTCATTCAAAATTATGAGAGCCAGCCCTGCTGATGGTGGCTCAGGGGTTGAGCACTGACATATGAAACAGGAGGTCATGGTTCAATTCCTGGCCAGAATACATGCCCCAGTTAAGAGCTGGATCTCCAGTATGGGGCATGCAGGAAGGCAGCCAATCAGTGATTTTTCTCTCATCATTGATGTTTCTCTTTCTCTCTCCCTTCTTCTCTGAAATCAATAAAAATATATTTTTAAAAAAATATGAGAGCCAGTTAATTGGCAATGCCTCTAAGATATTGGCCACAAGGCTTATTCACTATATTGTTACTTGTTTACAAAATGGCATTATCAATTGTTTTGTCAATTAAAAATATATTTTTTACAATAATTTTGACAGCTCAACTAATAATATATCATTTGCATCTTCTGTTGTTATTTAGTTTCTAACCCAAAGACAAAGAACCACCATCTTCTTGATTAACTGAGCTAATAATATTGTACACATGTGCAGCAGCTCAATGCTCAATAACTAATTAATAAATTTTATATTATTTTGGAAGATGTGTAAGTTCAACTCTATTGAGTTGCATGGGACAAAGGTCCTGTAAATTAACATAAATACTACTAACATTAATGTGCATAAAACTCAGTCCTGTGCTACATTTAATCTCAAATCAGCCCTTTGTAATTGCTAATGTTTTGAACTTTTGCATTGACAGATCACATTTCTTGATTGTTTTCAATTTATAGCGTTAGGACCATTTTATCTTACATTAACGCTTTACATTATCTTACATTAATGTTTTGAACTTTTGCATTGACAGATCACATTTCTTGATTGTTTTCAATTTATAGCGTTAGGACCATTTTATCTTACATTAACGCTATAAATTGAAAACAATCAAGAAATGTGATCTGTCAATGCAAAAGTTCAAAACATTAGCAATTACAAAGGGCTGATTTGAGATTAAATGTAGCACAGGACTGAGTTTTATGCACATTAATGTTAGTCACTTGCCGAGACTGGCAGAGGTTAATGAGGTAAATTTTCAATACTTTCCAATGCAATTTTTATTCCTCATGTAAGAGTGTCAAAATTACCCAACCCATATTTTTTGTTAAAGTGTAAAAGGAATTACTGAAACTTCATTATGTCTGTGTTATGAACTTGTTCACCTTAAATAATCTTGAGCTTTATAATGATAACATAATCTTAAAGATATTAATGAAAACAAGCATTGCTCAATATGTGCCAACCCCTACATAAAGTGCTCTCTAATCACGGTATCTCTTAACCTACAAAAATGGCCTATGAAGTTGGTACTATTACCACCTCCATTTTCTGGATAAGGAAACTGAGCTCAAGGAGGTCAACAAACTGGTTGGATTTCATAGTTTTAATAAGACAGAGTTAGAATTCATAGCCAGCCCAATCTGATTCCAGAGTTGGCACTATGCTATACAGTAGCTCATAGCAAGCCTTCATTTGGTTTGTTAATTTAAAATAGGAGTATGGCAAAAGAGTTATTATTAGAATCCAAAGTTCAAATGGAAATCAATGGTCCAGAGGTGAAGTAGCATGGACAATTTTTTTGTGACATACCTTTAAGATATTTAACACTATCTGTGGTACAGAAGAGTCGTGATATTTTATGTAGACTTCTTAAATGAGAAACAGCTTAACAATAGGACTAACATGTAGTCATCAGTTTGGTTTCAATCATGTATACATTTGTGTAGCCTCAGGAGATTCAGCTCTTCTGCTCATTTCTTTCTGGAGAGCAGCATGGGCCTTCCTTTTAGATTTAGATTGTATATTAGGACACAACCAGACGTTTGTCCTCTGGAATAAATGTCTAAAGTAAGTAGTCATTCACAGGCTGAATCCAATTCATAGGTGTGTCTTGTTGTGGCCATGTAGTGTTTATTTGTTTTTATTTCATTGACTACACACATTTAAAAATGGTAACATTAAAAAAATATTAAAAATAAAAATGGTGACTTTTTTATAATATAGTTTAATTGATTTCAGAGAGGAAGATAAAGGGAAAGAGAAATAGAAACATCAATGATGAGAGAAAATCATTGATTGGCTGCCTCCTGCATGCCCCACACTGGGGATCAAGCCTGCAACCCAGGCATGTGCCCCCGACTGAAATTAAACCTGAGATCCTTCCATCGGCAGGCCTATGCTCTATCCACCAAGCTAAACTGACTAGGGCGAAAGTGGTAACATTTTATAGAAAAACTAGAGACCCAGTGCATGAAATTCATGCAAGGGTAGGGTCCTTAGGCCTGACTGACGATCAGGGTAGATCAGGGCCTCAGGCTGCTGGCCAGGGCCTCCCTTTCCTGGCTACTGGCTGCCAGCTGCCAGCAGGGATCTTCCTTCATTCCGTGCTGCCCCCTGGTGGTCAGCACACATCATAGCAAGTAATTGGTCTCCTAGTCAAACTCCCATGGAGACAATGTGCACATTAGGCTTTTATATAGAGAGATCTGGGTTTCTATTTTATCTTAATAAATAAGAAGACAGCAAAAAAAATCCCAAATTCCCTCATGGAAAGTTCTTGGCTGGTGCTGAGTTCTAGTTGCCCCCTTTAGACAACTGGAGGTCAAATGTTCTTCACTCAGAACCACTACATCCACCTGTCAGGCCTCTTTTGCCATTTAGGTAGCTGCTCCTAAATATTAAAAGTAAAAATGATGACTTTTTTATAATATAGACAAAAGCCTCAGCCAACAATCAACTTAAAAACCTGTTACGTGATGTGAAACTGATTTTTTGGCCTATGTCATTTGCACTTCCTCTTTTTTAAAACCTACTGATATGAAGAACAGCGGAGGCATGGCAAAAACACCATGATGGTGGCATTGAACACAGAAATACTCTGTAAGTGGGTAATCCAAATCTCTGAAAGGACTGTTTACAAAGATTACTAGGCCACTAATATATTTTTATTTCCTTTTTTAAGAAAGTCATTTAAAGGTGATTATTCACGTGCAGATTTAATAATGCAATATCTAGAGTCAAATGAATTTAAAATTTAGTACTGAATGATTTTTTCAGTGTTTCATTTCAACCTATATAAGGGCATTCTACTTTGAAGTTCTGAACCTCTCTAATAAAAATTCTTCATATAGATGATATATATACCTATCTATTTTATATGGTATATATGAAATAATAAAATATCTATATGAAACTTTATCTACCATTACATAGTATAAAGTTACATATATACACATGTACTTGCATTAATGTATATACATTTATGCATGTGTACATATATATGCATGTGTCCTTCCAAACTATTCTTATTTTAACTTTAAATCACAGTAACATTTTACAGCAGAAAATTCTTACCTCAGCCAGAAAGATAACGAAGCACCAAATTAGCACAAAAACTAAGCTCTTGTGGACCGTAACATATCTAAGGTATGTGTTCCATGTAGTCACTGCTGGTATGCGCTCCACATCATCAAAAAAGCACTCCTGAAGAAAAGAATCATGGTCATTACAATGAGACTATACAGTTTCCTATCACCTATGACATAATATTTCTATGTGGTTTTATTTTGAATCTGTAAAAATAAGAAAATATTACTATTTGAAGCTAGGTGAATTTCAATAGATATAAAGCATTATGGGTGACATGTGTGGTGTCACTCCACAGCCAATATAATGTCCATTGGAACAACATAGCTTTTTGAAAAATGAGGAACACTGCAATTTTTCAAAATTCTAAAAGAATACCAATTACTATTATTTTTTGACAATTTTACCATTTTAATGCTTCCAGTGTCATTCCTTTAACCAAATGAACAGTACCATCAACCAAAGCTTCCTAGAGCTCTCCTTAATTTATTTCTTAACTGGGTCCATGGACAAATACACTGTGAAATTTGACTGGCTGTAGAAATCTTCCAATAGACCTAAGGGCAACTGATGTTTCTATATTTCACAGTAGACGCGTAGTATCTCTCCTTCCAGCTGTGATTTAAATTACATAATTCTACTCCTCAGTGTATTCCCCCTAGAAGTTTTGATTTGTCCTATGTAGATGATTTCAAAATTTAAAAAAGAGCCGAAACTGGTTTGGCTCAATGGACAGAGCATCAAGCCTGTGGACTGAAAGGTCCCAGGTTCGATTACGATCAAGGGCATGTACATTGGTTGCGGGCACATCACCAATGTGGGATGTGCAGGAGGAAGCTGATTGATGTTTCTCTTTCATCGATGTTTCTATCTCCCTTCCTCTCTGTAAAAAAAAAAAATCAATAAAATATATATTTTAAAAATTCTTTTGAAATACTGATCATAGATAATCCAAAGGAAAAAGATACTTTTGGTTTTCACGAAGACAACAAAATTCACAGGAAAAGAACTAATACTTCAATGAAATTGGAACATACCCCACTGGTTAGATATGAAGATTTTTGGAACCAAATAAACAAACCTGGCTTTGAATCTGGACTCCACATTGACTTCCTAGATGCTACTTGAATTTGGGCAGTTGAACATCCCTAACGTTCATTTTCCTGCCCTAACGTACTAGGGCAGTAATGAAGACTAAGTGTATGCTGCTTGGCAGTAGAGCAATCAGTGAATAATATAATAACTAGGTATTAATCAAAGAAATCACTCTTTACAACTAAATTTATGGGCTCAGGTTTGAGAAATTCATTCAAACTGATATTAAAACCATATAAATTATCCTTTAGGAAACCTCTAACAAAAATTATAAAAATCCTGAAAGTATGTATCTACTGTGTTCTTTCATTTCACAAAGAAGAAAACCTTGGCCCAGAAATGTGCAATGATTTGTGATTGCCAATGGTTATACTACCCTTAATTGATCTATGCTAGTAAACACATCAAGTTATCACAATGCTGCCTGTTTCATTCGAGGCACTTAATATATTCTTCTAGTAAATATTAAACAAAACCTCTCCACTTATATTGCTTCCTATCCTATATAATAAAATCCTAATATGCAAATTGACTGAACAGCAGAACAACTGGTCGCTATGACACACACTGACCATGAGGGGGCAGACACTCAATGCAGGAGTTGCCCCCTGGTGGTCAGTGCATTCCCACAGGGGTAGCACCACTCAGTCACAAGCCAGGCTCCTGGCTGGTAAGCGCAGTGGTAGTGGCGGCAGCCCCTCCAGACTCCACAGCAGTGCTAAGGATGCCTCAGGGGGTATCCAACTGTCAGCTTAGGCCATTCCTCGCACTCCCCAAAGGGAGTGGGCCTAAGCCAGCAGGAAGACATCCCCTGAGGGTTCCTGGACTGCAAGAGGGCACAGGCCGGGATGACGGACATCTACCTCCCTCCCACCCTGTGTATGGATGTCATGCATCAGGCCTCTAGTTTTTAAAATAAAAGTATTTTGTGCTTTAAAACTTAATGTAAAAAACTTTCTGTCTAAAGATCGGTGTTAGTATACGTTAAGTTTTACACACCTTTTTTAAAAAAAAAGAAACCTGTCTAGAAATCCAATTTAAAAGATAAAAAAAAAAGGCCGTAGCCGGTTTGGTTCAGTGGATAAAGCGTCCGCCTGCCGACTGAAGGATTCCAAGTTTAGGGCACAAGTCTGGGTTGTGGGTTCAATCCTCAGTAGGGAATGTGCAAGAGGCAGCCAATCAATGATTCTCTATCATCATTGATGTTTCTATCTCTCTCTTCCTCTCCCTTCAATAAAAATATATTAACAGATAAAAAAGCTCATACTAATTAATTCAGGTAAGATTCATATATAAATGACAATGTAAGTAGTCCTGTTAAGAGATTATAAGTATATATACCTTACATACAAAAATATTTCTTGCTCTCTAAACTACTGCTATTATCTGTTTATATATTTGTTTATACTCCATCTCTTCCCACAGAGGTTTTAAGGTGGCAATAAAGCAGTTTTATAATAATTTTAATAATTTATAATTTTTATAATTTATAATAATGACTACTATTGGCCTAGTAAACTCAACATAAGCCCTTACTTTGATAATAAATTTTATTGGAAAAGATATGTTCACTGCAAGGGGGAATAGTTGATTCTTTACACTTTTTTAAAAACATATATTTTATTGATTTTGTACAGAGAGGCAGGGAGAGAGATAGAGAGTTAGAAACATCGATGAGAGAGAGTCTTCGATCAGCTGTCCCTTGCACACACCCTACTGGGGATATGCCCACAACCAAGGTACATGCCCTTGACCAGAATTGAACCCGAGACCCTTCAGTCCCCAAGCCGACGCTCTATCCATTGGGCCAAACCGGTCTTGACTGATTCTTTACACTTTTAAGTGTTTTTTTTGTTTTGTTTTTCTTGCATAAATATGCACTTTGCTATTCCAGAGTCTTAAGATAAACCTCATGCTAAAGCCATACTTTGAGTAAGTTTTGTGACATACTAATATGCCACAGTTATACTCTGTGGCAAAACAACAACAACAACAAAACACTATTAATTTATACACACCTTTAAATCTTCTTCATTAATATCTTCACTTATTTCCAAGCCACTATCTTGAGATAAACGCCTGGAATATATGTCCATTTCGCTGAGGTTCCCCTGGGGGACCAGGGACATTTTGCGTGTGGATGCTGCTGGGGGCCGGTGGATGATCTGAGCTTGGTTCACGGAGGAGCGCGTCATCAGGTTCAGCACGGACTGCCTGCGGCGCCGCTGGAAGGTGGGGCCCGTGTTGACCATGTTGCTGCGGGGCAGGATGGCCTCCCCCTGCTCGGAGTCTGGAACCAAGGACAGCCTTCTCTCAGAAGGTTCCTCTGAGTCCTCTTCGATGCCACTGATTGGCAAGGGAGTCTTCTGCACCATCGAAAACTTCCTCAAGGAGTTGATCGGATTGAGAATCGAGTTCTTCCTATTTTCACCAAACTCTCCCGTCTGCTTAAAAGACTGCTTTTTTGTTTCATTCCTGGGGATGGCAGCATCTCCTTCTAGTGAGAAACGCCGTAAAGTCTCAGTGAGGATTGAATTTCTTCTCTCTGCACTAAACTGGTCAAAATAATCGTATCCCATGAGCTTGGAATTGAAGTCGGGCCGTAGGTTTTGTAATTCAGAAAATGTCCCATAAAAATAGCTGCTGCCTTCGTGAAGAATGAGTATTTTGTCGGCTCTCTTTAAATGTTCCATTTTAGAAGTGACCAAAATCCTAGTCTTGTTAGCCATCAACTTACAGACACAGCTTTACGAATATAAAAAGATATAAGATGTCAATTTTATAAACTCTTTATTACAATACTATACATATTTCATTTAAACATTTTATTAATATATTCTTATATAAAACCTCTATGATACAATGTTATTATACTTAAAATAATTCTAAAAGTAAATACCCAATACTAATTAATTTGGTGCCTTTGAGTTACTATAGCATGAAATACTGTATTACTGAATTATTACAGTACCAAAGGTTCAGTGGATAAAATTCATGCATGGAGGGTCCCCTCAGTCCAGCCTGCACCCTTTCCAAACTGGGATCCCTAAACCAGCAGTCAGACATCGGGCCTAAACCAGCAGTCAGATATCCCTCTCACAGTCCTGGACCGCTGGTTCCTAATCGCTCATCTGCCTGCCTTCCAGGTCACCCCCAACTGGCCCCTCCCTGCCAATCTGGTCACTCCTAAATGCCCCCCCCCATCTGCCTGGTCACCCCTTACTGCCAGCCCCCTGCTGGCCTGGTTGCACTCAATTGCCTCCCCACCAGCCTAGTGGCCCCTCACTGCCCACCCCCATACAAACCTAATCACTCCCAACTGCCCCATCCTGCTGGCCTGGTTGACCCCAAATGCACCTCCCCCCTGCTGGCCTGGTAGCCCCTAACTGCCCCCCCCCCACACTGCCAACCAGCCTTGTTCACCTCCTACTGCTCCCCCCGCCGGCCAGGTCACCCATAACTGCACCCCCTGCTGGCCTGGTAGCCCCTAACTGCCAGCCAGCCTGTTCGCCTCCTACTGCTCCCCCTGCCAGCCTAGTCACCTCCAACTGCCCCCCATGCTGGCCTGGTCATCCCCAACTCCCTCCCCTGTTGGCCTGGTAATCCCTCACTAACCCCCTGTTGGCCTTGTCATCCCACACAGCCTGCTGTTCAGTCATTTGGTCGTCCCTCACTAACCCCCCTGCCAGCCTGGTCATAGGCAGCCATCTTGTGAGGGTCTGATGGTCAATTTGCATATTACCTCTTTATTATAGGCTGCTATATTGTAAAGTTGAGTGTTAAGAGACCTAAAATGAAATTAAATATCTATATTAAATAAATGTTTGAGTTTGAGCAAATTAACTTTTGGGCCATGATTCATTCATCTAGAAACTGACAGAATTTTTAGATGACCTTTAAGATTCCTGAGGGGAATCTTTCTATGTATCTTTTGACATTTCAGAGCTTTCCTGTTCTTTACATTTTTTATTAATTTCCTTTTACATTTTAAGTTGACCACCAATTTAGTTCTCAAAACTTTATATTAAGACTAACCTTATTTGTTAAATCAACAACAATAAATCTAAGAATTAAATAATAGATTGATCCTCCTCTAATAAAATTTCCCTCTAATCTAGAACTAAATCTAGAACAGAATCATCTAAGGGAGACAAACTCCTTTTAGACATTAAACATTTCTTATTGTATAGAAAGAGACATAATTGTAGTGGGTACTCTAATATACTAACATGGCTAGCAAAGATAAGAAGTTATTTATCATAGCCATAGTATTGTAAAAATAGTATGTTAGGTATTATATTTAACTAAATTCTAGGAAAGAATTTTATACACACATACATCTATATTCTTTTTTCTTAAAATGTTTAGTTCTAGAAGAGAATCATGACAATTCTCATAAATAAACTACTTTATAGTCTATGAAATCAGTTTGAAGCTTAGAAATCAAGTCAGATAAGTAACTGCTTTTCTTTGGAACTTTACACACTCTGAGCCCTGCTAGGAGTTACAATGAAATGTCAATCCCAAGCCCTGTCTGACTGAGAACAAGGTTCTGAAGGAGGCATTGAGGTGGATGTATAGTCTGAGCATTCACTTTCATTAAACATGAAAAAATCCAGCTTGTTTCTTCCTTACCAAGTTTACTATTTAAGGAGGAGATAGAATAAAATACTAACACAAAAAAGCAAGTAAAAACATTCAGTATAGTAACCAATTAAAATAATGTCATTAGATAATAATATTGTAAAAACTACATAAACAGTGACTATTCAAGCAACAGCAAGGAAGAAACTGGTTTAGCAGGAGATGGTGGGAGGTTTTCATGGAAATGATATTGAATATTGGCTACAAAGAGAAAATGAGATTTGAGTAAGTTCTACATTGCATTCTTTCATAGAGTCACGATGTTGGACACACATTTCTCAAGGAATAATATACAGTCCATGGTAGAATAGTCAATCTTCTTCTTTTAGCATGAGCATTATGTTATTCAAAGAACATACCTTTCAAATATTTCTTTTTCTGTTAAAACATCGAGGTACCCGAAAGGAGAGTCTAATAGGTACAAATCAGCATCTTTGTACACTGCTCTGAAAAGAAAATGAAAACTAATTTAGATTTCCTCTCTATGTCCCATGTCATTTAGTATAGGTGATTTTAAATGAAGAAAAATAAATTATATATCATTTTATGGCTTTTCACAACACTCCAAGAACTGCTAATGTGGCTTTGTGACATTAACCAGCAAAAGTTACAAACTGAATCACACCATACCATACAATTTAAGATATTTCCTTAAACAGAAAAACAGAGAACACTTTCTAACAATAGAAGGTAACTAGAGCAAAACACAGTGCTGTATGCTGGGGACACGATGGTAAAAATTACACAGTTCCTACCGTCAAAGATTTTGCATTGTGGTGGAGGAAAAAGAATAAAATGTACTGTTTCAATCCTCTAAAATATCAGAGACAACTAAATTGCAGCACTTATGTGGAATGATTTCTTTTTAATGTTTTTTCAGTGTTGACTGCTACAGCAAATTGACAGCAGTACAGCAGTAGTATACAATTATATAAGCTATATAATTGATATGCTTTTTACTCCTTATAGTCTCAGACTCTGTATCATATTCATAAAAATTCCAAACAGAAAAAGAGTGAATAATTCACAGTAATAATGTGATTTTTTTAAGTTAAAAAATAAAACATTATGAGCAAGAAAATTCTTCATTAAGTTAATCACAGCACAGGAATAAAATGGAGGTATAGTCCCATGTTAATGAGAAGGAGATAATTTCTTCATAAACTTAAAATTTTCAGGTGTGGTTGTTAGTTACTTTACCCCACCCACCCACCAATCAACCACACAGAAATCAGTGTTTATGTTTAGTTCTGGGTACTTTCTATAAAAAGAAAAATGTATTCAATCAGATTTCTAAGAGAAAATACAGAAATGGCCAAAAAGTCAAAGTAAAATCTAAAACAATCTTTGCAGTGTTATGTTTTTTAAAGACAAAATGCAAGAGAGCTGGCTAAAAGACCTCCATCAAACTATACCCCCCAGGTCTTCCTTCCCCCACATCATATTTCTCTCTCCCCCTTATATCTATGACATATATTGTTAATATATTAGTGACATATTCATCATCTAAAACTGGACAACACATGACACATTCCAATAAAAATAAAAATAATTATTTTCTGTAGTACTTCAAACTGTGTACACCTTACAATAAAACCAAATCTTAAACTAGTAAATACAAACTCAATTTTATGTTGAATGTCTAGGAGCTTCATAGCATAATTTACCTACGTATAAAATGGAATGTTTAAGATAAGTGTTACTTGGGTTCACAGGTTAATTAACTTCCATTTATTTAGAGGTACAATTTTCAAAAATGTATCTACTGTTGAAAGTATTTCAGATGTCCCCTTTAACCCCTATTAACCCCCTCAACCCCACTCCCACACCCTCCCCAGGCATTCCCAGCACTTATGTAAAATCAAGAGGACCTAGTTCAGATTATAACTCAGAGTTTTCCTTTGTAGTAAAACATACCATAAGGTAATCAAATATACACACAGCAAAATAACTGCATGCATTTTTATCTGATATGAATATACCATGATCTAGATCACCTTAAAGAAGGTGATTCTTAACCAGCTAGCCATAAGACCCCCAAGCACTTTTCAATTCCAAAATAGAATATAAAATAGAGAAATATCTATAATTTCTATATGCATGATATTTACAGCAAATGCTTACTGGACCAAAAATCAGATACTCACCTTGCCAAGGAAATTCTTGCTCGCTGCCCTCCACTCAGTGTGATCCCACCTTCTCCAAGAACTATATTGTCTTTCTCTGCAAACTTGGAGATGTCCTATTATCAAAAGTAGAAAATAAGAAGGAAATTGCTAGTATGCTGGGTCTGAATTTGAAACGTCCTTTTACCTTCAAAGGCAGTGGTTGGCAAACTCATTAGTCAACAGAGCTAAATATCAACAGTCAACAATTGAAATTTCTTTGGAGAGCAATATTTTTTAAACTTAAACTTCTTCTAACACCATTTCTTCAAAATAGACTTGCCAAGGCCATGGTATTTTGTGGAAGAGCCACACTCAAGGGGCCAAAGAGCTGCATATGGCTCGCCAGCTGCAGTTTGCCAACCACTGTTCAAAGGTAATCATATATCACTCTATTGCTTTTAGCTACAATTGAATTTTGAACACTGCATCTTGATTATTTGAAACCCACTTCAATTGATCAAAACATTTCTAATTTTGAGAAATAAGTTTTTGTTTAATTTTTTAAATGCCACTAATGAACATAAATAATAATAATTGGAAAATATAAAAAGTAAAGCCTATGTATATTTATGGGTATGTAAATATGTGTTTATCATGTATAGGCCATTATAGAAACCTTAGTGCTATTAATGTGCTTAAGTGCACTTCCTTCTGATTTAAATACTGTTATAATGGAATCTCCAAAACTAAATAAAACTCTCAATAAGAAATACTAAATGAATGTTACTTACATACTCTTACCCCTCACCCTCCCATCATCCCCCAACCCTACCACTGCTGTATCTAAACGGTTTTAGTGGGTAGCCGTCAACACAAGGCAACTCCTTTCCACACTTTTCTCCCGACTCATCCACCCAACACCTCATTCCTGTGACCTCTCCATCCACTCTACCTCCCCTGTCACCTGCCTTCCACATGGATTGTGTCACCTTTCTCCCAGGTAGTAAACTTTTTGTGACAACAACCATGCTAGGCATTGTAAAATAAGTTTAACATAATGCTCTCCAGTTCCATCCATGCTGTTGCAATGGTAAGAATTCCATCTTTTTTAATGCAGCATAGTATTTCATTGTGTAGATGTACCATAGTTTTTTAATCCACTCATCTGCTGATGGGCATCAGTTTCCAAATCTTAGCTATAGTGCATTGTGCTGCTATGAACATAGGGGTGCATTATCCTTTCTGACCAATTATATAGAAAAGATTCCTTTATTAACTTTTGGTCGAGAATATGTTTGTGTATTTTCAGAAAACAACTCCAAGACCTGGATTCCTGCAACAGAGAGGAATAGACAGAAGTGCTCCAACCACGAAGACAAGAGGAGAAACAGCCGAGATGGAAGACGCTGATGACGCCTGGCCACGCTAGCAGCCAGCAGCTGTGCATTGCCCAGGACCAAACCAGAGAGGGTCGGACCTGCATTGCCACCATGTGCCCACCATTCTGATATCATTGCTGACATGTACATATAAGGAACTGTTTGACATTGAAACGGGGACTCAGAACTGTTGGACATTGAAATTGGGACTCAAACATTTTTTGTTATTATGTTTATTTCTAGTTTGCAAAGGCAAGATTTTTTAAAGGAAAGAAATGGGAAGGGGATGGGGGGGGGGAGAGAGAGAATAGATACAGATGCAAAGAAGCATTGAACAGACTGCCAAACTACAGCAGGAAGGCAGGGGAGGTTGGGTGGGGGGTGGGGGAGGTGGCTGTAAGAGATCGATCGAAGGACTTGTACACATGCATTTGAGCATAACCAATGGATACAAGACACTGGGGTTGGGGGGGCAGGTGAGGACATGTACTGGGAATAGGGGAGGCCAGGGGGGAGGTCAATGGGGGGAAAAAGGAGACATATGTACCACTATTTGTAATACTTCAAACAATAATAGTAATAAAAAGCATGAACAAAGGGAAGTTGAGCATTAAAACGTTAAAAAGAAAAAAAAAAGTTTAGAATTTATGAGAAATAGTCTTTGACGCCCAGTTACTCAAAACCTAAACCATAATCCTGAAGAAAACTAAATAACATCCAAAAGTTTTCATTAACCATTTTAATCCAGGTCATAATATAGTATACAATTAACCTACAAATTAGTTGCACAGGTGACAGAAGCCTCTGTACAACAGACAGAAAATTCTAGAAGACTTCTTGAAAGAGATGGGGCTCAGCCTGAGACTTGAAGGATGAGAATGGGTACTGCTCTCTTTTTAATTCAAAAAGATTGTCTCTGATTTCCCTTCCCATCTTCAAATATCTGCTCTTTTCTTTTTCTCTCTCCCTTTACAAAAATACACTTCCATACTATTCCTCCTTTTCCTTAACAATCCAGGAGCAATCCACCTTCTCTCCTTGAGTTGCCAATATTATTTATATTTCAATTGTCAAATACACATACACACGTGTAATATCTTAATCAATTAAGAAATTAAAAATAAAAAATAAAATATAAAATTCTAATTGAAAAACAAAGAATTGTCAAATGCTTGTCACAAAACTCTAGGCTAACAAAGGAGGCAAACTTACAGTGATCATTTATTTTAAAAACTATTTCGCAGCTCCAATAGGCTGAAGCCATTCTAACAACTGCCCCCAAGGAACTCTTCCTGTCAATAATCCTGAGCTGGGGGGACAAAAAGCCTGATGTTACAAATGACGTCATGTTGGAGGCAATGAAGTAGGATAACTCCACTCCTTACTCTGGCACCCACCAATCCATTGTCCGTATCTATGAGTTCAGAGTTTTTTTTAGATTCCATACATAAGTGAGATCCTAGAGAATGTATCACAATGCCCACAAGGTCCATCCATGGTTTTGCAAATGGCAGGATTTCCTTTTTTTAATAGTTGAATAATATTTTTATATATCTGTATATATGCCACATTTTATTTATCCATTCATATGTTAATGGATACTTAGGTTGTTTACATGTTTTGGCTATTATAAATAATGCTGCAAGGAACCTGGTGGTATCTAGTAAAATTGGAAATCCTAATAACCATAATTCAACAGGTAGATAGATATCTACACCAAATAAACTCTTGAGTATTTATAATAAATAAATTAAGATTTTTATTATTGTAAAATCTTAGAACGATCTAAATGTTCATCAGTAGTGGAATGAGATAATAAAATGTAATATTTGAGCACATACAGCAGAGTAAAAAAATGAAATAAATTTCTATATATTACAAGCATAGCTAGACCTCAAAGAGATAATAGGAGCAAAGAAAGTAAGTTGAATAATGATATGTACAAAGAATACTATTTTTGTAAATTTTAAAGCCATGCAAACAAAACTATTAAATACTATAGGCCCGATACATGAAGATTTGTGCAAGAATGGGCCTTCCTTCCCCTGACTGCCAACACTGCCTTCGCTCTGGCCTGGAGCCACCTTTCTGCCTTCCATACTGCCCAGAAGCCTGGATTGGTGCAGAATGCCTGCATCCCACCCTGCCCCCAGCTGCATATGCATATTAACCCACAATCTTTGTTGGGTTAATTTGCATACTCACTCCTGATTGGCTGGTGGACATTGTGAAGGTATAGTCAATTAGCATGTTACTCTTATATTAGGTAGATTGTTTATGGATAAATGTATGTATATATAAGTATAATTTATTTGAAATGAATTGGAAAAGTATATATCACATTCATAATAGTAATTGTATGAAACTTGGGGTTTTGTGGAAGAATGATGGTAAAAAGGATTTGTCTAGGCCACTGACAATACAATTAAGAAATCAGGCATTTGCAACAGCACGGATGGAATTGGAGAGCATTATGCTAAGTGAAATAAGCTAGTCAGAGAAAGATAAATGTTACATGATCTCACTCATTTCTGGAATATTATGAGCACCATAAACTGATGAATAAAAACAGATCCAGAAACAGAGAAGCATCGATCATACAGTCAAAGCTCAGAAGGAAAGTAGGGAGGGTGGGGATAAGGGTGAGAGATCAACCAAAGGACTTGTATGCATGCATATAAGTCTAACCAATGGACACATATACCATGGGGGTGAGGGCATGAGTGGGGGAGTAGGGGAAGCAATGGGAGCATAAGGACACATGTATAATATCTTAAAGAAAAATATATATAATATCAAAAAAAGAAAAAATTTACATTAATTGTCTATAATTATAATTTTTTAAAAAGCAGGGATGTTTTCATATGAATGTCTTCTATCTAAAATAGTCACTTATGAGACAGATTATTTTTAAAAGAATAAAAATAAAAGATTCCTGCATTTAAAAAGATCTGATATTCTGAGCCAATGTTTTCAGCCTCCTTTCTAGTCCAAAACCACTTAGAAAAAGATATGTGCAAATGTAGATAATTTAACAAGTTACCTCAGGTATTGTAATTAATAGGAAGCTACTGAGATTGAAATGAACAAAATATTGGGGGTAGAATGAAGGGAATTGAGAATAAGCCTGTTATTTTAAGATTAGATGTGTAGCACACCAATATCCTACTGCTAATGTGAGCACTTGTTCTGATCACCTAGTTTATTGTACGTTTGTAGATTTCTTCATTAGTGTTTTTTTTTTCTATTTGATTTAACATAAAACACTTTGCTGTGTATACACTGTTAAACATTTGTCTTTGCTGATTACTAAGAGCACTCAAATCCGGTAATATATTTACATTAGAGTGTTGGTTTTCATCCTTCACCGCAGATTTTTGCTTCTGTGAAAATTATGACCTAAAACAAATTGATACCACTTGCTGTCATGCATTAAAATGCAGCCTACAAGCATAAGCTGCTAGAAGCCTTGCACATAGAGAGGCAAATGCCATTTCTCTTCCCTCACACTGAAACTTCCCTTGCATTCCCTTGGAGCTTTTCATAAAAACTGTTGGAAGAAATCATTACATGCAACTAAGATGCTGGGTGTGAACTGATTTTTTATATAAAAATTAACTACTGAGATTTTTTTTTAAACCTAAGTTTTATTGTGACAATTATTTTACAGTATATAATGAATACCAAATGATTGTGTTGTGCCCCTGACATGATCATGTTGTCAACGATACCTCCATAAAAAATAAAAAAAACTG